ATTCTACCATGTTCTACCTCTCCTTTTTGGTGAGTGCCTTCCTGTTTTCCTGCCCAAAGTGCTGCTTTTCGATCTTCCTGGGGCTGCCAACATAATGGTAGGCTACCGGACACACATTGCGCTTCATTTTGGGGTGCTCGTCGCAACTGGACTTAAATGCAATCGAAACTCGCTCAGATGGTGTGCTCCACAGCATCCCGGCATCTGGATCTGCGCTGGCAATCACGAAGAAGTGCCGATGGCTGACCACCTCCGAGCCGGGCAATGGCCACCAATCCCTTTACATTACCATTGGGGTAATATAGGGTAATGTAGTGTTATGTAGGGTTCAGGGTTTAGGGTTTAGGATCCCTTTTCACTACCATTGGGGTACTACAGTACAGGGTAATATATGTAGGATTATATTAAGCTAATATTGGGGTAATATTAGGGCTGTATGGTAATATAGTGTTATGTAGGGTTATATAGGCTAGTCTTGGCTTAATATTAGGGCTATATATGGGCTTGCCATCCTGAGAGCCACACGCCCTGTTGCGCTGCACCACTTTGGAGCCATGTCCTCCTGATGGCTCAAGCTCAACTGATCCCATGGCTCTGCACAAAGAAGATCGCAACAAGGCTGATGCTGTACTGCTACTACTATTATTATGACTAGTCTTATAGGGCATTTATGGCGGTTATATAGGGATAATGGAAAATAAAATGGAAATCACTATAAGCTGGCACAGCTGGCCAACAAGGTCTCCTCGCATGATCCATCAAAGCGGAATCGATGGCTCGCGCCGGAATCACGATGAGGACATCCACCTGCGGCCGCTGAGTGCCTCGGCACGAAAAACTTGCCTCCGGCTCGGAATGATTCGGAATGATTTAGAAATCATTGTAATACCTGAAACTTGCGCTGCACGTTGCTACAACCTCTGTGTACTGAGAACCCTGCGCATTCCCAGCATCACACTCTCCACTGGAAGCAGCTGTGAAGTTGGTCGAGGAGGAGGAAAATGTTGGCTGGCGAGGTGGATGAGCCGCAGCCAGTAGCAGTCAAACCTGAGCACCGTGCAATCTTCCACAAAGTCTACCTTGAGCATATCTTGGGTTGGGCCCCACTCACTAGTAGTGGTATATTAAGAATATGTGTATATATATATGGACCTTAATATAATCATCACTATCATTTGGGGTCACTACCCAACCGAAAGCATGTCCATCCAAGGCACGCGTCATCCGTGAGGTGGCGCTGCGCCCACCGCCTTGAATTGACCGAGATCTCCTGAAGGGGTTTGCCAGTATCATGCTACTAAATCTAAGATAATATAGTATGATCATAAAAATTATAATCATAATAGTAGCAATACTAGTAATAGTACCACAATACTCTTCAGTTATGTGCGAGCCCTAAACCCCATGACTCGGGGCACCTGTCCCAGGCCTCCGCCAAGGCTCTGGCAGGACCACGCAAATCTGCCAGAACTTCTCCGGCAGCCGACCATAGCAGGTCGAAGGACAGCAAGTGTTCACCCTCCTGATGGCAGGCAAGTTACTCACAACCAGAACGTTTGGCAAATCACCCCGAAACAAGCTTCATCAGAAACTCCGTCCTTGAGCTGAGAGTAGTACCATTCGTGGTACAACAATGGGCTGGAAAGCACCACAGAACCGCAAAGAAGCCGGTATTTCAACGCCAGGGCCATAGTGTTCCCGGGCAGGTTAGCCAAGAACCTCAATTGCGCAAGTAGGAATGTAGACAGGCTTCAAGACACAAGTTCGTGGCTTTGCTGCAACCTCGCCTGTGATTGCACCATTCGTGGATTGGGATGCAGCTGTCGCTGCCACTGCTGACCGCCTCATGCCAAAGAATGCTTGCTACCTGGCCCACAAAGCAAAGCATTTTTTAACCCCGACCTGGCGCTGTCCTTCGGGTCCAATCACCCATTCCATCATGGACACATTTGCAAGCTCCAGGGAAGCCAGCAAGGGCACCACTTGCTTCCTGGAACGCTCAGAATACCGTGATTTGCTAAGAAGGAAGGCTTGGGTCCTGTAAGTCGAGGTTGCAGCACCGCGCCAGAACAATGCATCCGTCTTCTCAGACCATGTTGGCACCTGTGCAAAAAGGAAGGCTTCGAACCAAGCCTGAGGTTGTTCAGAGGCGCTTGAATTGAAGCGCACTGCAGCGACAAACATCTTGCGAACACTGCAAGGTAGATATCACAACCAGGATTTTGCAATGCAATGGTCGGGGGCTTCTGCAGAAGAAAGGGTAAGCCGGACTGACGTTCTCAAACCGCTTCGTCTATGAGGGTTTGCTTCCAAAATCAACTGCCCACCTCTGCCATCTTCGCCAAAACCTGGGACCAAACGTGTGAGCCAGCAGGCTCTGATGGACACTCCGACTCCGGCCATGCATAAGACGAGAAGTCTGGGTAGAGGATGCCACCTGAGGCATTGGCGCTAATCCCAAAATCTTAGGGTTTAGGACAATATAGGGGTTATATAGGGTTTATGAAGGGATAATGAAAAAGAAAAGAAGCTACTATTTAGGGCTTAGGGTTTAGGAGCTGCTTAGGGCAGACAAACTGCAATGAAGACGGACAGGCCTGCGGAACCAGGGAACTTCGCAATGATAAACAGAGGGGCCTCAACCTCCGCATAACCGTCCGACGTGTCGACAACCTCGCGTCATTGAGCGGCACACAGGGCAAAGGCTATCCTCAGTCTGACATTCTTCTTCCAAGTTAGACTTCTTAAATTGTAGTTTCCATTTTCTTTTCCATTATCTCTATAGCCACCATATAACCCTAATATCTACCCTAAATGAGACTTTTATAGTAGTACTTTCTACAGTGGTTCACATTGAGACCTCGGGAGCGCTCTGCTCAAGATTCCAAAGCGGTAGCATCCACAACTACGACGACAAGGCTATGATCAAATGGGTGGTTGTCCAAATTATG